GTACACCCCAGTTGCCTCAACGATGGCATCATCTTCCACATCGTATAAAATAAAGTAATCAATGCTTTTTAAGGATGTTTTTACTTGGACTGTAATTTGTCCCAGACCAGACCAGTCCAGACCAGACCAAACCAGACCAGACTTGGATAGTTATAAAAATACAAAGAAACCAGACCTTAGTAGACCAGACCAGACCCATTCAGACCAGATCAGACCACATCAGACCAGACCAGCAAATTATAGTCAAAGTAAAACCATCCATACTCAAAAAATCAAAGTGCATTTTTTTCATTTTAAAAAATTTCACGGTAGGTATTACTTCAATTTCAAAAAACTCACTTTATTTAAAAAATAAAAAATCATTCAAAGCACCTGCCAAAATACGGTTAATTAATACGCAATTTCAAAAAACTCACTTTATTTAAAAAAATAAAAAATCATTCAAAGCACCTGCCAAAATACGGTTAATTAATACGGGAACTATGGGGAAAAAATTAATGTAGCAAATTATTACTTTAATTAATGAAGTGTGAAAGCTAATTAAATTTGAATTTTAAAAATAAAATTAACACCTAGTCGGAATTGGAGTATCCGACATTCGTTTATTTGGAAAGAGATGCTGAGGATTCCCGTATTTTGGTAAATCACCCGATAAGCAATATCTGGAGTGCCTTGGCGTGAGAGTTGTGCTCGGCCCTCCTGTGTCTCCCTGGTTTCCTACAATATTAGCAAAACATAATCATTGAACTCTCACCAGTTTTTATTTTATAGAACAAGTTCTGCTGGAATTGTTTAGAATTAATTCTAATAGAAAAGCTTGAAGAAACATCTGGACGTTATAGCATTTGTACAGGTCTACAGGACAAAACTGAAATAGGATACTCCGTACATCATTATAGGGGAGGTAACTAAGGATGTTCTAATACTTTTCATTCCAAAGTAACGATTGTAGAATCATAAACTCCTGTATGCAGCTAGCTTTGTCACTCTGAATGAAAATGTTGTAGTTTACTAAAGTTGACCTTTTTTAGCAAAATAAAGCAGTATTGTTTATTGAAATTATTAAAACTGTTCATTTTTCAGTCTCTAAGACAAGATTTTTTTCCCCATGATCTTATGAGTAATTTCTCTAAATTATGAAGTGGAATGTGTCACACTGTCACCGAGGTATATGCAGTGGCGGATCCAGGAAAAATTCTTATTGGGGGCGGAGTAATCAAAAGAATATAAATTAATAAATTATAGTTGTATACGAAATTGTTCAATATATGAGTAGAAACGTTTGTGTATTCCTAAATAGAATGACATATTTGTTATTCGCTAAATATGAGTAATTATTGTCATGTTTAGACAATATCAGACTTTAAATATAAGAATATTTTCCAAGCTTGACAATAGTTACTCCAATTTAGAGAATAAAACATGATAGTCCTATTTTGAAATTCTCAAATGTTTTTACTATTATTTGGGGAATTTTTCCGCATGTTTAGAGATTTTTTCTAATAATGGAGAAGATTAGACTCCAATAGATGTATAACTATTTGAGTTAAATGATCATCTATTAAATTAAATCTAATGGATTATATAAAAAAACCTTACAAAATTAAATATTAATAATAACATTATACTCCGTAATAAGTTTAATAACATTATCTATTATAATAACATGTTTAGAGTAATATATGGCTTTAGAGTTCTCTTAAACAAATAAGGCTTTATATGGCTTTATATGCCATACAACGAGAGGACTAACCCAATTAAGCAACGTAACTACGCAAGGAACACTCTACTATCAAATTGATTAACTGATTAATGATTTAAAAATAAAGTGGTATGAAATGAGGTTGACCTCTTGACTATATAACATTCAGCCGTAACTTTTGAGGCAAGTTAGCGGGTTTCCCGGTTTGGGTGAAATTCGCTTTGGATTGGGAAATTGGTCGGCCGAGTTATTGTTGGGGGCAATCAGTTTTTTTAATTGGGGGCAAATGCTTATATTTCTAATATTACTAATAATTTATATGGGTTTATTAGACTTTTATTGGGGGCAGCTGCCCTCACACCACCCTTGCTACATCCGCCCCTGGGTATATGATAAAATAAACAGGGAAAAGAGGCCAAGGGAAGTCATTTTCTTTTGTTTAATTTTACCTTGGAAATAATGACCTAATAATACGATTTTTTTTTTAATATTACAGTTTTGTCATTATTTTGCGGCATACGGAGTATTTTATTTCCTTAAAATTATGCCTTATATCTTCCTTCCCAGCATGTACTAAGTTCCAAACAAACCCCAAGGAATAATAAGCATAATTGCGACTTTATCATGTTTTCCATATCAATCAGGAGCCAATAATGCTGGCTTGAAGAGAATGGATGAAACTGACCAGGCCATTGAACGCTCACAGATGGCGTGTACTTGATAACAATGGCGGAGTCAGAAATCTATGGTTAAGGGGGCCAGACCTTAAAAATTTTACATTGCAGGGACCAAAGTTTAAAATATCAACATATTTTCTATAGGTTAAAAGTATTTATATATAATATATACTTAAGTTTTTCCTTGCAGGGGCCGAGGCCCCCTCCAGCCCCTCCCTGTCTCCACCCCTGCTTGATAACTAGAATACTTTGGTAGCAAAGTAAATCACTAAATCTGTAACCTAACTTAGCTTTTACCGTGCCGGTCCTACCTAAATTCAGGCCTGAGTCGATCTTTATAAAAAGACCTCTGTAAATTACATTTTTATGTAGTATAATTTTTTTTGAAGTTAAAGACTAAGCATCACAAAATAACTAATACTCCCTCCGTCCCGAAAACAACCTCCCGGTTTGACCTACACACATATTTAGGAAATAAATTTGACTTTACTGTAGAGTGCACTGTTTGACACTGTTTAAACACTATTTGGCACTGTTTAAACACTGTTTGACACTGTTTAAACACTGTTTGTCACTGTTTATCACTTTTTTTATGTAGATAATTTGCCAAATAAGGAAAGTATTGAAGTGGGAAGTTAATTTTGGGACATCCATTTAAGGAAAGTGGGAAGTTGTTTTTGGGACGGAGGGAGTATATAGGAATACCAAATGTTTTAAAATAACGAATTAGGTGACAACTCCGGTACCCAATTAAAAAATGGGGTACTGTACCTATCATTCACTTGATTGGTTCACATCATTATATCATTTTTAATTTAGATTTAAATAATTCAACTGCAACATTCTCATTCGTTCATGTGGACAAAGGTACGGTACCTTTGTCAATCAATGACATCTCAAATTAATCCTTGGAGCAACTTATTATTTATCTCCCATGTACCCAAAAAAAACTTTTCATTGTGCAAAACAAATTGGAAATTCAAATTGGACTAATAGAGTTTTTAGCTTTACAATTTCAGGTCACTAGTTCTGTACGGTATTTCCATTGCATTGCGTTGGTACTTGGTCACATATTTTTTATTTTGAAGGGGAAGAAGCAAATAGAATTTAAATCAAGGCAGCTATATTTTATATTTAAATACATATGTATAGTAGGAAGATATTTTAAATTTTGGGCCCCTAAATATTTAACTTTTTAGGGGCCCTGAGGCCTTTGCCTCAACAGCCTTCAACAGCCTCCAAATAGGCACGGCCTATTTAGCTTTTACCAATTACCACTTTAATTTAACATATACACACACATATGTGTGTGGATGTAGATTGTTCAACTTTGAAGGGCCGCGTACTATCTCATTCCTATCATTTTTAGGAGTGGACAAATCGGTTTTTGATTCGGTTTTTATTGGTTTCAATTGGTTCAGTGATTGAAAGAATTATTACCCAAAAAATCATACTATATTTCGGTTTGATTTAGTTCGGTATATGTTCGGTTTGGATTTGTTATTTTTTAATAATATATGAAGGTTTTATTGTATTTTTTTAGTTCGGTTCGATTGTATTCGATTTTTCTCGGTGTCAGTTTGATTCAGTTTAATACAGTTTTGGAAGAAGTACTACCAAACTCAAAGAAAATTACTTAGAGTGTGTTTTTTATTCTGTTAAATTCAGTTTGGTGCGCTTTGGTTCGGTTAAACCAAAACCGATATGCTCACCCCTAACTTTTAGAACTGTTTGAGCTCCCAAATGCAATATTCCAACTAGGGGTGAGCATGGGACGGGACGGTTATTTAAAAAAAACATGTCCCGTCCCAAAGTACGGTTCTTTAAAAATCAAGAACCTGTACCGTCCCGCATATATATAGAACATGTCCCGTTCCCTACCAATTTTTAGTACGGTTCGGAACGGTTCGGTACGATTCTATGGTGTTATTTGGTTCCTAAATAATTAACCCCATGAAATATAATTAACCCTATTTACGTAGCATTGTTTATATCATTTAGTATTGTTTTTGCTTTATAGCTAACTTTTAGTGTTGTCAAGTCTTAATAATTGGATTACGCCCAAAGAATATGCAAGATTGCATATTTGTAATATATGGACATACGGTCACTAACATTTATACTCGGTAATATATTATATATAATATATTATTATTATTATTATATTATAACACTAGTTTTCGGTACATACGGTCACTAACATTTATACTTGGTAATATATTTTATATAATATATTATTATATTATAACACTAGTTTTCGGGACAATTTGGGACGGTACGAGACGGTTCGGTTCAATATAGTTTCGGGACGGTTCTCACTAAGAACCGGTACCGTACCATATTATTAAAAAAGCTTGGTATGGTACGGAACAGTATCACATTTTTCCGGTTCTTTCGGTTCTGGAATGGTACGGGGCGGTTCTTCGGTACGGAACGGGAATTCCCAGATCCGCGCTCAGCCCTAATTCCAACTTTGTGAATCAAGTTGTTAAAGTGAACAAATTTGACCAAAAAAGTAACTCAAGTCCTTTCAAAATTGATTAATTAGTAAAACAAAAAAAGTTATGCATTTAATTAATACTACCTCCGTCCCACTATGTTTGGGACAAAGGAGTGTGACACAAATTTTAAGAAAAATTGGAATTGTGTGGTTGTTGTTGAATTGATAAAGTGTGAATAAAGTAAGAATGAATTGTAACCACCCAAATATTGCCAAATATGGTATGAGACAAACTTAATGGGACAGACGAAAAAGGTAAATTGGGACAAAGTTAGAGGGACAGAGGGAGTAGTACATACCAAATAAGATTAAACAAAATACCTTTCCATCAAGCCTTCGTGGCCTTGAACCCCTGCCCATTGTCATAACTGGAACCTCACTCATATGCACTAATTAGTAGTGCATAAATGTATCTTTTTATGTTTGATTCGTGTGGATTGTTTACCATTTTATTTAGTTTGTAAGCATTTATGTGATTTTAGTTGTAATTGTATTTTAGTTCTCATTTGTAAGTTGTAAAGTAGAGTTAGGATTTATGGTGTTGGAAAGGAAGACTTTGAATTGAAGATAATTGGCTGCCCAGGACAGTCACCCGGTCGGGTGAGGTATTGCACCCGGTCGGGTGAGACTTGAAATACGAAACTGCTCAGGAAACTACATCACCCGGTCAGGTGAGGTATTTTACCCGGTCGGGTCAGACATGACCCGGGACAAAACGACGTGCAGAAACATGAGAACATGACGGATTATTTGATTTTGACATGCACCAGGTCGGGTGGGCACTTGACCCGGTCGGGTACCCGGCCAAAGGTGTTGAAAAACACCTATAAATAGCACACTTTTCCTTCACTTGTAATCACTCCTTCCTTTATACTCTTACTCTCAACTTAGAATAATATTTCTTTTATATTTTTATAGCATGTTTAGTCTCCAAATGAGGAGCTAAACTTCCATTTCTTGGTGTTGCTCTTGAAGCTTGATTATTAAAGTTGTGAGTTATTTTCTTAACTTCTTTCCTTGAATATTAATTCTTCCTTTAAATACTAATTCTATATCAATGTTGGGGAGTGTTACTAAGATGACAATTAGTTAACATGTTGACATTAGTTATAGTAATAGTTATTTCTTTCTCTATGTTAATATTGGGGAGTGTTACCAAGATGACAATTAGTTATGTGACACCGCGCCCGGATGTACTTGAATTTGAAATTCGACATGTAATTGAATTTTCCTAGCAAATAAAATTCATGTAATTGATTGGCATATTTATTTAATGTGCGATTAATTAAATTATTTATCGGGTCCAGTATATGTGACTGGGCTACCAAATATTTAGTTGGGTCATCATAGTAAATTATAGAAGCCCAATAAAGTGCCAACAAAAGTTGATAAAAATATTTGGACAACCCGAGTGCTATTTTGGCCCAACCTGCCGAAAATAGCAGGAATAATTGGGAGGGACTTTCTATACCCAATTGGGGTTTTTCCTACAAGCCTTGTAGACTCAAAATAATAATTTTGAGGCAAGTGAACATGGGAGGGGCGGACTTATTTGATGATGAGATTGCACAAGACAAAATATCACCCCATATGGCCTATCAACACCTCAACTTGGAGGTTTGATTGAGATACAATACCTCCCCCTTTCCCATTGCAATCATTCGGCCATATCAAGAAGGAAGAACCTCTAGGAAGAGCTCTCAAAAAGTCCAAGGATTGGAGGAAGCAAGAAGGAAGTATTCCCAACACAAAAGGGCTAGGATTTGAGGTAAGAATCCAACTAGTATGAACTAACTAGTATTATTTTGTATGATTTTTAATAAATCATATGGTGGATTAAACATGAAGTTCTACACGTTTAAAAGTGTAGAATAATGTTATAAAGTGGTGGTATTTAACTTAGAAGAGTCGTGGAATCGATAGGAGTTGAAACCGCCGGAAACCGCCAAGTATAGGAGGCTGTTCGTAGCTGCAGACCACGAAAGCCGCCCACCTTTCACGAAAGCCGCCCGGCTTTCGTCTGCTGTCCAGATTTTTCATCTCCAATCGGTTTAGAACGGGGATTGATCGAAGGGCTTAACGAAGGCAACTATTGCAGCACATCATAAGGTGAGGATGGCTGACTATATTGCTTATAATCTTTGGGTTAATTTCGTAGGATTACCTAAAGTAAATAAATGTGATTTTCATGGATTATTAATGATTAATAATGCCTATATGAAAATATTGTTGTCAATGAATAAAGGAGCATAATATACAAGTTTAAGGATAAATTGTGTATGATTATGTAATATGAGCATATTGGCTTGATGAAGGGATTAATTATAAATATTGTGTTGAAATATAACTATAACTTCATATAAGGATATATGAGTGATTAAAGGTTATATTTTGTATATTGATATGAACTATATTTTCAATGGAAAATTAGTTTGGAAATTGTCTATATGACTATGAATTGAAAATGAGTTTTGTTGGAATTTATCCGACTAGTATTATGATACTAGTCGGGGTTTTGGAATGAAATATGTTAGAATTGATCCAAGGTTTGGATTGTGAATTGTTGAGCCTTAAGTAGTCTTAAGAGATACTAAGGTGGATAAGTGATGCTAGGGGTAGGCCTTAAGGGATACCCAAGATAAAGTGAATAATAAATTGATCCTAGGAATAGGATTGGCCTACGGGTGTATTCGGTAGTCTTTAAGGATTAGCCGATAGAGTATTGGTAATTAGTAAGGACCATGGCCCTTCCCGACTCTAGAGAGCGGGGTTGGATAGCATGGACTTACATCGTGATCACGGGTTAGGGTGGAATCCGAACCGGAGACCTTACGAGGCTCCCGACAGCGGTAACACATAAGATAGGACCCCGAATGGACCTTACCTTCCTACGGGATGATGGGTATGAGTTCAGGGGCGGGATGTTGGACTCCGGCCCGAGAGCCCGGTGAGGCCTCGGAGAGCGGTGACAAGTCTCGTAAAGGATGATAAGACCTACGGGCGGTGTCGTGCTAACGACGGGTATAATGAAATATATGAAATGGGCCGTGTGCCGACAAATAAATAAATTTACTTATTATAGAGATAATAAGTGGGAAATATAAATTATTATTTATATTATGATATCACCCTATTTTGAGGGTCTTAGAAATTAAAACGTTGATTATACTTAGTATAGTTGTCATTGTACTTGTCAAATGCTTCCAAGTACTGACCTCCCCTTCACGGGGGAGGCCACCTCACAGTTTCAGGTAGGGAGTAAAGCTTGCTACCATCGCCCGTTGCTTCGGGGAGCTCAGGGAGAGAAGACGTGGTTCGTGCTTCCTCCGTTCTATTTTTAAAACATTAAATTAATGCTCATGGATATTATTTTGAATAATTATTTGGGGCTTGTACGCCCATGTTGCCGAAGTGTGGCATAAACACTTGTATTAAACGTTTCCGCTGATTTAAATGATTATTTTACATTATGTTTGTTTATGGATGTACTATTGTGAATGATATTCAAGACGCCTAGTATAGTATGGATGAGTTGGACTGCGGTTGACTATTCGTACTGTACGGCGGGTTGTTGACGTGTCCGGTAGGTCCGGGGCGTGACAATTAAGTTGGTATCAGAGCCTTAGTCCGTAAACTTCATAATGAAGCTTCAAAATTCTTTGAAAATGATTTTGAAAACCATGAGCATAAAGTTTTGTACTTATAGGACTTTTGGTACTTGAGTTGCAAGGTCTCTAATTGTTAAGATGGTACCCTTAACAATTGGTATGGCGGTGATTTGAGCCAAAAGATGTCTTTAAGTACCTATCCGTCACTTGACATTTGATACGAGTCTAATGGCTCAATCTAAACTTCTTTCAGAAATGGAGCCAATCGGAAGAATCACTAGGAGGAACCCGACGGGCCGTGTGCCGGGTGGATCCGAACGCGGCAGCCGGGGGTCCACTAGGGTGTCAAGGGGAAGGGGCCGTGGAGGCCAACAACAAACCGTGAGCGATGGCCACGTTGACACGGAGAGTGAGACTTATTGGTCCTATGAGGACTCAACCTATAGGCCGGAAACCGAGCCGGTGGAGACCCCTTATGAAGGGGATGATGATGATGATGTTAGCGACGAGGAGCAAGATGGCTCCTTGGCGAGAATTGAGGCGTTGCTCCAACAATACCACCGAGAGCGCGAGGAGAGGAGGGAACGCCGAAGGCGCCGAGCGGGGCAACCTTCGGGTATGGCTTCAAGAGGAGGAAGCCACAATGCATCTAGAGTCCATGTGGAACCACATGGAGGCCGAAATGATGGGGGTCCAACCATAAGGATCTCCAAGTTTATCAAGGAAGCAAGAGACTTGGGGTGCAAACCCTTTGACGGGACCGGAGACATTTCGGTTGCCGCCCAATGGATCAAGAGGTTGAATGAAGCAGCCCTTGACATGCAAATCACGCCTAACCTTAAACTGAGAATAGCGGTAAGGTTGCTTGAGGGGATGGCATCCAAATGGTGGGATGGAACCAAGAGTAAGTATGGCGAGGGCGTCGTTTGGGAGGACTTCCAACGGGAGTTCTTTGCCCAATATTACTCCGACTTCGAGGTGAACAAGAAGGTGAGGGAATATACCCTCCTAACTCAAGGGGGTAACATGACGGTGAAGGAACTTGAGTACAAGTTTCGGGACCTTGCCGACTACATACCGGAGTACGCTTGTGATGAGAACCGGATGGTGAACCACTTTTGGGATGCCCTAGACTTGGAGATACGTGATAGGGCAACACAATTGCGTAACATGACCTTCGCCCAAGTGGTAGACCAAGCCTTGAAGGGCGAAAAACAGTGGGAAGAGAGGAAGAAAAGGGATGCCGATGAGGCGAAGAAAAGAAAATGGGAGAACCATGGCCCCCAAGGTTCTAACAAGAAGGGGAACCACGGGGGAGGTAGCTCATTTAGAACCCCTGCACCACCATCGAAGGGAAACCAAGGCCCAACTGGGCAAAGCTCGAGGTCACAAAACTCGGGAGTACCAAGGTGCAGCAACTGCAAGAAGCTTCACCAAGGCAAGTGCCGTGATCCCCCGAGATGCTATCAATGCGGGGAGGTCGGGCACATGAAGGTGAGTTGCCCACAACTTGGGCGAGCCGTGGGTGCCGGACCAAGCAGTGGAACCATGGTGAGCAGGAACCGAACGGGAGCACCGAGTGCAAGCATGGGGCACGGTGGAGCTAGCACAAGCAATGCACCGTCCGTTAATCAAGGGAGGACCCAAGCGAGGGTCTATGCGATTACGGAGGCCGATGCACGTGCTAACCCGGACTCCGTCGCGGGTAAATTCTTGAACTTTTGATGTTATTCCCTTGTATACAACATAAGTGTTAAAATGTACACATTGTATAGCCAACCGGGAGTGTGCAAGTTCGGAGAAGTGGATGAATATCCACCTGGGGGCGAATGCCGCCCGGCATTGACGAAAGCCGCCCGGCTTTCGCCTTCGAATTATTTGCAGAATCCTACGGCGACTATAAGGCGCCCGACTTTGACGAAAGCCGCCCGGCTTTCGTGCTTGATTTTTTGCTAAAATCCTTCGGCGGAGAAAACCCGGCCGAGTTTTGTAAAAACCGGCCGGCTTGTGTTCAGGCGTCTCCGGTGTGAGGCGTTGCCAATGAAAACCGGCCGGCATTCGTGAGAACCGGCCGGCTTTTATAAATAAAGAAACTGAAACTCCTACGGCGACGAACGTCGCCCGACGTTCCTAAATCCCGGCCGGCGTTCGTTAGGGACAAGAAAATACGTCGTAACCGAAACCCGGCCGGTTTCTGCGAAACCCGGGCGGGTTTGAGGTGGAAATTTATTGAATAAATGTTCGGCGACCGAAAACCGGCCGGCTTTGGCAAAGACCGGCCGGCTTACGTAACCAGTCATTCCGAGCCGAGGGCCAAGGTACGAAAACCGGCCGGCTTTCATGAAAAGCGGCCGGCTTTCCCTTATTGGTGCACGGTGTTGATTTTTAGGTGGGAACCGGGATGGAATTGGGATGGGGCGTTAGATGACGATCATCCAGACCATAGCCGGGGTACTCTATAACCTAAGAAATGAGTCTAATAAGTGGGGAGTGTGTCTTACATTGCTTATGAATGTAGGAACACTAAAGATTAACGGGAGAGACGCAAGAATCCTCATTGACACCGGGGCGCAACGATCATTCGTGAGTGAGGCGTTTGCCGGGGGATTCAAAGAACCACTTGTACCGATGACTCAAGCCCTATTGGTATCCACACCTCTAGGGGAAGACATCGAGAGAGATAGCCACTATCCATCGTGTGAGGTGGAAGTGGAGGGCCACAACTTGACGTGTGATTTCGTACCGCTGAGTATGATTGAATTCGATGCAATCCTGGGGATGGATTGGCTTGAGAAGCATCATGCTAGGGTCGATTGCTACACAAAGATACTTGAACTCGAAGGCGATGAAGGGGTAACCTTACGCTTCGAGGGGGATCGGGCCAAATTCAATAGTTGTATCATATCCGCCGTAAGAGCTAGGAGTATGATGAGAAAGGGTTGCCACGCATATCTAGCATACGTGGTAGACAAAACAAAAGAAGAGACGAGCATTGATGATGTGAGGGTGGTATGCAAGTATCCGGATGTCTTTCCAAAGGACTTACCGGGACTTCCACCCGATAGGGAGATTGAATTTGTGATCGAGGTCGAGCCCGGCACCAAACCAATCTCCATACCGCCATACCGCATGGCACCCGCAGAACTTAACGAGTTGAAAACCCAATTGCAAGAGCTTTTGGATAACGGTTTCATTAGACCAAGTCACTCCCCGTGGGGAGCACCAGTCCTTTTTGTGAAGAAGAAGGATGGAACACTTCGAATGTGCATTGACTATCGTCAACTGAACAAGGTCACAATCAAGAATAGGTATCCTTTGCCTAGGATTGATGACTTGTTTGATCAACTACGAGGAGCAACCGTGTTTTCAAAGATTGACTTGAGGTCGGGGTACCATCAATTGAAGATTAAAGAGGAGGACATACCGAAGAGTGCCTTCCGCACAAGGTATGGGCATTTTGAGTTCCTTGTTATGTCGTTTGGGTTAACAAACGCCCCGGCGGCATTCATGGACTTGATGAACCGAGTATTTCACAAATACTTGGACCGATTCGTGATCGTGTTCATAGATGACATCTTGATCTACTCAAAGAGTGAGGAAGAACATGAGGAGCACTTGATACTCGTTCTTGAGACACTACGGGAGAAGCAACTCTATGCCAAATTTTCTAAATGTGAATTTTGGCTTAAGGAGATTGGCTTTCTCGGGCATGTGGTTTTGGGATCGGGAATTGCGGTGGATAACAAGAAGATAGAAGCCATCACCGAATGGGAGAGGCCAAAGAACGTCAAGGAAATTCGTAGTTTTCTTGGGTTAGCAGGCTACTACAGAAAGTTCGTGGAGAAGTTCTCCGTTTTGGCATCACCATTGACGAAGCTCACTCGTAAAGGAGCTAAGTTTGTATGGGATGACAAATGTGAGAAAGGTTTCATTGAACTAAAGAGGAGATTGACCGAGGCACCGGTACTCGCATTACCCAAGCAAGGTATGGGGTACGATGTCTATAGCGATGCTAGCATCCAAGGACTTGGATGTGTGTTGATGCAGAATGGGAGGGTAATTGCCTATGCTTCACGACAGTTGAAGAAGCATGAGGTAAACTATCCTACTCATGATTTAGAACTGGGGGCAGTGGTATTTGCACTGAAGATTTGGAGACATTATCTCTACGGGGAGACATGCCACATATACACTGACCACAAGAGCTTGAAGTACGTGTTTACTCAGAAAGAGTTAAACATGAGGCAGAGACGGTGGATGGAGTTGATAAAAGACTACCACCTGGTAATCGAGTACCATCCAGGCAAGGCCAATGTGGTGGCAGATGCCTTGAGCCGGAAGAGCTCATCTGGGGCATTGATAGCTAACTTGAGGGCTTTAAGAGCCCAACTGGAGGTATCCAGTAATGGAGCCTTATTGGCACGATTTGAGGTGAGACCTACTTTGCTTGATGAGATCAAGAAGGGTCAGGAAACTGACGAGGAAATCATGAGGATCCGGGAACGCATGCAAGCGGGACCAGTGGAGGACTTCAGGGAAAGAGATGATGGTCTCTTATTATTTCGTGAACGAGTGTGTGTACCATCGGATGAGGGGCTCCGAAAGTCCATCTTAGAGGAGGCTCATTCATCGGCGTATGCCATGCACCCGGGAGGTACGAAAATGTACCGTGATCTGAAAGAAAGTTACTGGTGGTCTGGTATGAAGAGAGAAATAGCCGAGTACATCAGTAAATGCCTTACTTGCCAGCAAGTTAAGGCAGAACATCAGCATCCAGCTGGGTTATTGCAGCCACTTTCCATTCCAGAATGGAAATGGGAGCACGTGACCATGGATTTTGTGGTAGGACTGCCACGGACCGTGAGGAATTATGATGATGTATGGGTTGTGGTTGATAGGCTCACGAAGAGTGCACATTTTCTACCTATCAACACTACCTATGCACTTGAGAGGTTAGCCAAATTGTATGTGGATGAGATCGTGAGGCTACATGGGGTTCCTATAACCATTGTGTCCGACAGGGATCCACGATTCACATCACGATTTTGGCCGAAGTTCCAAGAGTCCATGGGGACAAAACTGAAGTTCAGCACTGCCTTTCACCCACAGACAGATGGACAATCTGAGCGGGTTATACAAATTTTAGAGGATATGTTGAGAGCTTGTGCATTGGAGTTCCAAGGAAGTTGGGACAACCATTTAGCACTTGTAGAGTTTGCCTATAACAACAGTTATCAGGCGAGTATTGGCATGCCTCCATACGAGGCATTGTACGGGAGGAGATGTCGTACACCTTTGTGTTGGGATGAGGTTGGCATGGCCAAACTCGAGAGCACGGAATTGGTGGAGATCACCAAGTCTAAAGTGAAGATGATTCGCGAAAGGCTTAAGGCGGCCCAGGATAGACAGAAGAGCTATGCCGACAAGCGCCGGAGGGCCTTAGAGTTTAAGGTGGGAGATGAGGTATTCTTGAAAGTTTCACCCTGGAAAGGAATCATCCGATTTCAAAGCCGAGGGAAACTTAACCCACGCTACATAGGGCCATTTGTGATTCTTGAAAGAATTGGGGCCGTAGCATACCGATTGCAGTTGACTCCAGAATTGGAGAAGATACATAATGTGTTCCACGTGTCTATGCTAAAGAAATATGTGCCGGATCCGTCTCACGTGTTAGAGAAACCACCCGTGGAAATACGTGAGGACTTGAACTATGCCGTTCGACCGGTAAGGATACTTGATAGGCAAGTAAAGAAGTTGAGGAGCAAGAGAGTTCCAATGGTTAAAATCCTTTGGAAAAGTGACCGAGTTGAGGAAGAAACTTGGGAAACGGAAGCCTTAATGAAGGATCAATATGCATTTCTGTTTGAGTAAGCATTTGTGAATTTCGGGGACGAAATTCCCGTTAAGGGGGGGTGAACTTGTGACACCGCGCCCGGATGTACTTGAATTTGAAATTCGACATGTAATTGAATTTTCCTAGCAAATAAAATTCATGTAATTGATTGGCATATTTATTTAATGTGCGATTAATTAAATTATTTATCGGGTCCAGTATATGTGACTGGGCTACCAAATATTTAGTTGGGTCATCATAGTAAATTATAGAAGCCCAATAAAGTGCCAACAAAAGTTGATAAAAATATTTGGACAACCCGAGTGCTATTTTGGCCCAACCTGCCGAAAATAGCAGGAATAATTGGGAGGGACTTTCTATACCCAATTGGGGTTTTTCCTACAAGCCTTGTAGACTCAAAATAATAATTTTGAGGCAAGTGAACATGGGAGGGGCGGACTTATTTGATGATGAGATTGCACAAGACAAAATATCACCCCATATGGCCTATCAACACCTCAACTTGGAGGTTTGATTGAGATACAATACCTCCCCCTTTCCCATTGCAATCATTCGGCCATATCAAGAAGGAAGAACCTCTAGGAAGAGCTCTCAAAAAGTCCAAGGATTGGAGGAAGCAAGAAGGAAGTATTCCCAACACAAAAGGGCTAGGATTTGAGGTAAGAATCCAACTAGTATGAACTAACTAGTATTATTTTGTATGATTTTTAATAAATCATATGGTGGATTAAACATGAAGTTCTACACGTTTAAAAGTGTAAAATAATGTTATAAAGTGGTGGTATTTAACTTAGAAGAGTCGTGGAATCGATAGGAGTTGAAACCGCCGGAAACCGCCAAGTATAGGAGGCTGTTCGTAGCTGCAGACCACGAAAGCCGCCCACCTTTCACGAAAGCCGCCCGGCTTTCGTCTGCTGTCCAGATTTTTCATCTCCAATCGGTTTAGAACGGGGATTGATCGAAGGGCTTAACGAAGGCAACTATTGCAGCACATCATAAGGTGAGGATGGCTGACTATATTGCTTATAATCTTTGGGTTAATTTCGTAGGATTACCTAAAGTAAATAAATGTGATTTTCATGGATTATTAATGATTAATAATGCCTATATGAAAATATTGTTGTCAATGAATAAAGGAGCATAATATACAAGTTTAAGGATAAATTGTGTATGATTATGTAATATGAGCATATTGGCTTGATGAAGGGATTAATTATAAATATTGTGTTGAAATATAACTATAACTTCATATAAGGATATATGAGTGATTAAAGGTTATATTTTGTATATTGATATGAACTATATTTTCAATGGAAAATTAGTTTGGAAATTGTCTATATGACTATGAATTGAAAATGAGTTTTGTTGGAATTTATCCGACTAGTATTATGATACTAGTCGGGGTTTTGGAATGAAATATGTTAGAATTGATCCAAGGTTTGGATTGTGAATTGTTGAGCCTTAAGTAGTCTTAAGAGATACTAAGGTGGATAAGTGATGCTAGGGGTAGGCCTTAAGGGATACCCAAGATAAAGTGAATAATAAATTGATCCTAGGAATAGGATTGGCCTACGGGTGTATTCGGTAGTCTTTAAGGAATAGCCGATAGAGTATTGGTAATTAGTAAGGACCATGGCCCTTCCCGACTCTAGAGAGCGGGGTTGGATAGCATGGACTTACATCGTGATCACGGGTTAGGGTGGAATCCGAACCGGAGACCTTACGAGGCTCCCGACAGCGGTAACACATAAGATAGGACCCCGAATGGACCTTACCTTCCTACGGGATGATGGGTATGAGTTCAGGGGCGGGATGTTGGACTCCGGCCCGAGAGCCCGGTGAGGCCTCGGAGAGCGGTGACAAGTCTCGTAAAGGATGATAAGACCTACGGGCGGTGTCGTGCTAACGACGGGTATAATGAAATATATGAAATGGGCCGTGTGCCGACAAATAAATAAATTTACTTATTATAGAGATAATAAGTGGGAAATATAAATTATTATTTATATTATGATATCACCCTATTTTGAGGGTCTTAGAAATTAAAACGTTGATTATACTTAGTATAGTTGTCATTGTACTTGTCAAATGCTTCCAAGTACTGACCTCCCCTTCACGGGGGAGGCCACCTCACAGTTTCAGGTAGGGAGTAAAGCTTGCTACCATCGCCCGTTGCTTCGGGGAGCTCAGGGAGAGAAGACGTGGTTCGTGCTTCCTCCGTTCTATTTTTAAAACATTAAATTAATGCTCATAGATATTATTTTGAATAATTATTTGGGGCTTGTACGCCCATGTTGCCGAAGTGTGGCATAAACACTTGTATTAAACGTTTCCGCTGATTTAAATGATTATTTTACATTATGTTTGTTTATGGATGTACTATTGTGAATGATATTCAAGACGCCTATTCGTACTGTACGGCGGGTTGTTGACGTGTCCGGTAGGTCCGGGGCGTGACAAGTTAACATCTTGATATTAACTATAGTAGGATTCATCTTCTTTAATATTCTTCCTTGAGTATTAATTAATTCCTATTCATATTTCATATTAATATTTTGAACATTACTTAAAGGATCAACTAGTTTTGTTTCATATATTAATTATTACTAGAATCGATCAACGAACCAATGGTTAATCGTTGATGGTTTCACAAGTAAGTAACTTCGGTTTATTAATGCACGGTCGTGGTTAATAAACTTAAGAGGGATTAATTTTGTTGGTTAAACCGAAACCGTTGTGTTGAGGTTATCAATCTCAATTGATTTCATCAAGGAGTTAAGAGATTAAATGCTATTATCAAGTCGGTATATGGCGGTGTTCTATACTTGACTAATAATAAGGGTTATTAATGAACGGTCGTTGTTAATAACTACCCTCGATGAATTGGATATACTCCTCGATTGAGTGTTCGAGAGGGGATAAGTTATAGATATAACAATGAACGACTAAAATATATCAACAAGTGGAAAGTAGCAATGTCAAGTCCTTTTTATCTTTGAATCAAATCACGTAACAGTTGTTCATCTTTGTGTTTAATTAAATTAAATCATTCAATCCTAAACCCCCCTTTTATTTATTACTTTCATTAAAAAGATAATTATTCCTTTCCCTGTGGATACGAACTCTACTTCACCTATACTACGTATAATTGTTAGTATTGAATTTATTTTGACGCACCGTGACAAAGTGCACGTCAAATTTGGCGCCGTTGCCGGGGAAAGACGGTTATTTTTCTTTTAATTTATCTCATAAAAATCAAAAACAAAAAAATTAAAAAATTAAAAAATAAAAATCTTACTCTTCTATTTTCTGAGCTTACATGAGTTATCAGTATATGGATACCAACACTTCATCCTTAGAGAGTCAAATTTCCTTCTTGACTTCTCTAATAAAGGAATTAATCTTAAGCTCAAAAGCTCAAGATGCCAAGACATGCAACATTTGCTTGTTTCACATGCATCTTACGGATTTCTGCCCAAAGCTCCAAGATGAATACCTTGAACAAATTGATGATGTTGGTTACGAAAGGGATGTACTTCACATGAGGTATGATCTGTTCTCCAACTCTAACATGTCTACAAAGGATATGGTTCGGGCTATTGCTACCAACATGACCACTATGCAAAACAACATGGTGCAATTCCAAAATGAGACCAAGTCTAGCATTTTGAACTTGGAAGCTCAAGTGAGTCAAATAGCCGGAGCCGTGAGTAGACTTGAAGCAAGGGATTCAGAAAAATTTCCTTCTCAAATAGAATGTGATCCTAAACATCAAACTTTTGCAATCACATTGACAAATGAAAAGGAAATGCAAAAGGAGATCCAGAATCCAGAAGAAGTAGAAGAAGAAAAAGACACGGAGCTCCAACTAGTCAAAGAAGAGGATAAGCTGAGCTTCAAATTCAAATTTTTGTCATTGTCATCCTTTGAGGTATCTCCATCATCTCTGAAAGATTTAAGAGAAACTCGTAAACTTGAAAAGGACAATGACATTTCTGAAATCTTCTTCAAAATTGAGGGATCAAAAAACTTTTCATTGACCATACTAAACGATAATTTCTTCCCCTTCCTCCCACCACATGAATCAATGAAAATCTGGATATTTGATCCTGGAAAGATTTCCAAAGTAAAGAGTCGAGAAATTGAGCACTCCTATGGAAATCCTATGAGTGAAAGTGTGAAGAAGATAAACTATCATGATCCAAGTTTGAATGACTGAACACAATGATAGCGTCGTGCCGCGACGTTAAATGAGGCGCTTTTTGGGAGGCAACCCATGCAAGGTATGTTTACTTGTTTTATTTTATTTTTGCACATTTCATAAAAAAATCTGGGGAGTGGACCCGGGCGGGTATCATATTTCACTCGGTCGGGCGTGTTCGTAAAAAGGCACCTGGAACTAAAAAAAGCACCCGGGCAATTTGTTTTTGGCAAAACCCGACCCCTGGAGTAAATTACCCGACCAGGTACTTTTAATACACCCGACCGGGCATTTTTGACAAAAAGATTCTGGATAAGCGGGAGTTAGGCCCGACCGGGTACATTACCCAACCCGGCCGAGCGCCGGGAAATTTTCCACAAAAACCGAGATGGCTTCCTCTTCTTCCGCATTTCATCTTCTGCAAACATGAACCTACTCCGCCAAAACACCATTTTCAAACTCCATACATTAGAATCTTCTCTGTTTCTACACCAAATCCAAAAAAAACTCATTTTCTTCATCTCCTCATCACCATCTTCACTCCTACACCCACTAAAAAACCGCCCAAATAACCAAATATCCAAACCCCCTTACTCCAAAAACAACAAAAGCCAAAATTTCCTCACCCAAAAAGAAAGAAATGACACCAAAAAGGGCAAAGAGAGTCATTCTCTTGGACATCTCGGACACAAGCACTAGGGACAGTGCTTTGATTAGCTTGGGGGGTAATTTCATGGAAAACTCACATTCATACTCTATATTCTTGAGTTATTTTTAAAAAAAAATATAAAAAACAAACTTGTTAAGCTGAAAACCTGAAAAGGCAACTTAAGCAAAAATAAAGCAAAAATAAGAGTGAGTTGCGAGGATTAAAACAGAAAAATGTGGGAAGCTGGGATGAAAACCCGAAAGGGCACCTAGGCAAAATGAGAGAATGAGAGAAAGTATTTTCTTTTATTTCTGCAGGATCCTAAGGGTAACGCAAAAAAAAAAAATTGAGGTTGATGAGAAATATGGAGTTGAGACCCCTCTTTACTCTTATAATTTTGGGGATAATTTTTGTGTTGTCCTAAAAACACTCTTGGATGTTTGTGTGGATACTCTTGTCATTTTAAGGACTTCTTGGGCTAGATTTGGTTTACTCGAGACTAGTAAAGGTTCAAGTGTGGGGGTGTTTGATATGCAGTAATTAGTAGTGCATAAATGTATCTTTTTATGTTTGATTTGTGTGGATTGTTTACCATTTTATTTAGTTTGTAAGCATTTATGTGATTTTAGTTGTAATTGTATTTTAGTTCTCATTTGTAAGTTGTAAAGTAGAGTTAGGATTTATGGTGTTGGAAAGGAAGACTTTGAATTGAAGATAATTGGCTGCCCAGGACAGTCACCCGGTCGGGTGAGACTTGAAATACGAAACTGCTCAGGAAATTACATCACCCGGTCAGGTGAGGTATTTCACCCGGTCGGGTCAGACATGACCCGGGACAAAACGACGTGCAGAAACATGATAACATGATGGATTATTTGATTTTGACATGCACCAGGTCGGGTGGGCACTTGACCCGGTCGGGTACCCGGCCAAAGGTGTTGAAAAACACCTATAAATAGCACACTTTTCCTTCACTTGTAATCACTCCTTCCTTTATACTCTTAATCTCAACTTAGAATAATATTTCTTTTATATTTTTATAGCATGTTTAGTCTCCAAACGAGGAGCTAAACTTCCATTTCTTGGTGTTGCTCTTGAAGCTTGATTATTAAAGTTGTGAGTTATTTTCCTAACTTCTTTCCTTGAATAT